TCGCCCGCTGCCCGGCACAGCCACAGGGTGGAGCGGGAGCCCGGCTGCCCCCTGAGTTGATCTTCAAGCCCTGGGCTCTGAGGTAGAGCCTCGATTTCTGTTTCTGTAAAACTCGGGTCACATTTTGATTTGATTGTAAAAACGACCAACCAAACGAAAACAACAAACCAAACCCAACCAAACCAAAAGCGACCAACCCTCTGCCGCCGAGTAGCTGCTCAGAGCTCTGTACCTGGCTGGTAAAAATGATGACCGAAGCTTGTTGCCTTCTGTGCTTCCTGGCTTAGCCCACAGCCTTGCCCTGCCCCACAGTGTGGAGCTCTGGGGCAGGCACAGACCCCACACAGGGTGGGCAGAGGGCTTGAGCAGCACTAGAACACTGGAGCAAGGCTGGCTGCCAGCTTGGCCACCTCCCCAAACACAGAGACACACCCTGCTGCCGTCAGCTTGACATTTTATTGGGGTTTACGAGAGACAGATGGTTCCCGAGTCAGTGTTTAAGGCCCACGGGCTCAGGACAGCCCCACGAGTGCTGCCCGTGGGCTCCTGGCCAAAGAGCAGCACCAGCAGCAGAGCCAGGGTGGCCGGGCAGAGCAGAGGACGGGACCTGCCTGGCTGCCCCCAGCTCTGTTAGCAGCAACGTGGGTCTGAGCGAGCAGCCTTCCCTTCCTGCCCTCACCACAGCACATGCCACCCCAGCCAGGACCAGCGGGCAGGGCCTCCAGCCCATGGCACAACTGGGAGTGAGCCAAGTGGCCCAGCAAAGAGCCCGAGGCCACGGGCACGAGTCACAGGGGTCCCTTAGGTGCAGTGCCAGCGCCAGGCCCCAGCCCTGGCCCACAGCCACGGCACGGACGCTGGCAGAGCAGGCCCAGGGGGAGGTCGGAGGCAGCTCTCCAGGGGGCAGAGCTGCAAATTCAGTCCTGGAGCCCCCAGGTCCTGTGGTGGCTTGGGGCACTGGGGAGGAGATGGCAGAGACCGGGGAGCAGAGCCTGGCTGAGGTGATGGAGGGGGCCAGGCAGGAGGCACGATCTGCAGCTCCGGCGCTTGTTAGCCGATGCTCCCACCCTTCAGGCTTTTACAGGAGACTGTCCCCAGCTTGGTCAGGAAGTTTCTCTCCTTCCACTGGGCGACACAGTCCTCAGAGATGCGGAAGTCGGCCTGGGGAGCAGAGCAGGGGGGGCAGAGTCAGATCTCAGCTGCCAGCAGCACCCTGCTCAGCTGGCGTGAAACATGGTCAACAGGTCATTTGGGGTCACCCAGAGGTGGGGACAGTGGCATCTACGTGGGCCTGTGCACCAGCACCCTTGACACCTGCAAGTCCAACTACTCCAAGCTGTGGCCCAACCTCCCCTGGCACAACCTGAGGCTGTTGCCTCTTGTCTTGTTGCTTATTCCTTGGGAGAAGAGCCCAACCCCCCACCGGGCTCCAACCTGTCAGGAGCTGTGCAGAGCCAGAAGGTCTCCCCTGAGCCCCCAGCTCCCTCAGCTGCCCCCCACCACACTTGGGCTCCAGCCCCTCACCTGCAGCTTCTCAAAGACCTTCTTCTTTGGCTTGAGCTCGTCCTCGGGGTCCCCATCCTCGTAGCCCTCCACGTAGATGCGCTCACCAGCGCTGCAGCCGGCTGGTGGCTTTGGCTCACCCACACTGCGAGGGGTGTGGAGGGGGCAGAGTCACCCCCCAGTGACCCCACACACCCCTCAGCACCGCCGTGCTCTGGGGCAGGAGAGGGGAGGATCTGGATTGTACCCCTGGAGGGGCACGGCCCCGAATCCCCCCCCCTCCTGAGCTCACCTGGAGGCACACAGCACCATGCCCTGCGACTCCACCCCCCTCATCGCCTTGGGCTTCATGTTGCAGAGCAGCACCACCAGCCTGTCCTGCAGCTGCTCCCTGGGCACGAACTGCACCAGGCCACTGACCACCGTGCGGGGCTCGGGCTCGCCCACGTCGATCTTCTCCACGTACAGGTTGTCAGCGTCCGGGTGCTGCCGAGCAGAGGCGGGGTGAGGAGCAGAGCAGGGGCCTGGGGGGCCACAGGAGGGGGCAGCAGAGCCCCCCACCCCCCGAGTGCCCACGTCACCCCACGGGAAGGTGACTCCCCTCTCCCCCTTGGGCCTGTACCTTCTCCACACTGATCACTTTGCCCACCCGGATGTCCAGCTGGGATGGGATCACCGCGTTCTCCGGCTCGGAGTTCTTGGGGTGCTTCTCTGCGGGCTCTGCAGCACAAAGGGAACAGTTGTGCCACTCAGCATAAACCCAGGGAGCTGGGCAGGCCCTGGGGAGCACGCAGGGATCCCCAAATGCCAGCCCTGGGGCCTGCTGAATTCCCTGCTTGTCTCTACACTGTTGAGCACGGTCTCTCCTCTGCTTTGCTGGGCTCTCAAGCACCAGGGAAGGACACCAAGAAGCATTCTCCCCAAGGACAAGTGACAGGACAAGAGCAAATGGCCTCAAGTTGCACCAGGGGAGGCTTCCATTGGATATTAGGAAAAATTGCTTCCCCAGAAGGGTTGTCAAGCCCTGGTGCTGGCCTTTCCTCCCCTTTCCTAATGCTCTCCAGGGCTGCTCCTGAGACTGAAGTTTCAGAGCTTCTCTCGAGCCTCAGCCCCTGAAGGACTCTCTGCCCCCCAGCCCTACGTGGCCAGGGCCCCACTTCCCCAGGCTCCCAGCACCTCCTTACTGGCTTTGGGGTACGCTGCGAGGGTCAGCTTCTTCAGCTCTGGGCTGTTGAACTTCTCTCTGATGGGGTCAAGCAGCTTGTTCAGGGCCACCTCCACCGAGTTCTTCAGGTCCCCAGGATGCACGACCTGGATCGAGACACACAGATGAGTTCCCACACGGGCAGGGGGAGCAGCACAATGCCAGTCAGAGGCCAGAGAATTAGGAACTGGAGAGCAAGCAGGGCAGGGAGATGAAGCCCAACCCTTGGCCTGACCCCCCCTCAGAAAACAAAGCCTCTCCTCTGGTCACTTTTGCTTGCAGCCTCAACTGGGAAGAGATGGAAGCAGCTAAACTGCTGCTCTGTTCCAGGATGAGGCTGTCATGGTCCTGCCCTGCAATGGGACAATTGGTGGCCCCACATCCTTCACCCATCCTCTCGTGGGCTCTCCTGGCTGGGCACCCTGCCACCCTACGGCCACTGGGCCCTGCTCTGCTCCACGCCTCTTCCCATCACAGATTCCCACTGCTGCCTGGAGCTCTCAGGAGCCTCTGGCACAGAGAGAGGGTTTGCTCCATCCTGGCACCCACCTGCTCAGCAAAGTCCTTCTCCAGGGCCTCATAGGCTGTGTAGGTTTTGTTTCCTCCCCATTTTTCTTCTCGCAGAACCACGAACTCTGCGACACACAGATGTGAAGGTTCAGATTAACCCAAGAGGAGACTCAGCCCTGGAGCAGAGGGGGACAGCAGCAGGGGCTGGGAGGGGGCTCTGGGGACAGTCTCCTCAGGGGGCATCCACTTCCCTCCCCTCCTTCTACCCACAGAAAAACCAGACCCAGCACCCGAGTGTGGTGAGCTCCTCACCTGACTTGAGGGGAAAGAGGACGTGCTTGATGAAGGAGAGGACACCATTGTTCTCCACGTTCCCTGGCTCACAGAAAGCCTTCCTCAGCTTCTTCTTCACATCCTCCTTGCGGTCCAGAAGGTCAATCTTTGAGTCCTGCAGGAAAAGATTTCCTCAGTCCTTCACCAACCTCTTACCCAAAAGAAACAACTCATGCTGGAGTTGCTGCAACGTTTCCTTAGACCCCAGGGGGAGGGGACAGAGAAATCACCAGTCACCTTCCCTTGGGGTGCAGCCTCCCCAGCCTCCCCCAACCCCTGACCACAGCCACTGTTCTGGGACCAACCTCTTCTGAGGAGCTCATTTTGCTGCCAGTCAGACCAGGAACCATGGGGTTCATCAGATGGATGCGCTTGGCATAGCCCAGGGAGGGCAGGTACTGGGAAAGAGCAAAGAGGAGAGTCATGGACAATCTGCTTCTGAACACTGGCTTGAACTCACAATCCCCATTTGCTCCTGGCTCCAGATAACTTGAGGACTCAGAATAACAGGATCCAAGAAGCCATCAGACACCAGAGCCCCAGGGACCACGAGAGCAGCAGCAGGAGCTGCAGAGAGCCCTGTGGTGCCAACCAAAATCAGACATGCTTCTCCCAAGGGGGTCAGTGCCTGTTGGAGCCCTGAGCTGGGCACCAGCACCACGGGGAACTCAACAACACCCCCCAAACCTCACCTTCTCCACAGCCCACACCTCACCTTCTCTGCAAAGGTGAATATCTTCCTCTGATCGACTCCTCCAAACTGTGCATCGACCTTGAGGTACTCCTCATCCAGAGCCTGCAGAGACACCCACCCCTTGGAATGGGCCCAAGCACCCACAGCACAGCTCTGCTCAGCCCTCAGAGCTCCCCACCTGCCCCCCAGGATCTGCCCAGCCTCTGCTGGGGCAACTCCAGCCCTGGGAAGGATGGGAGCTCTCTGGACTCCTCTGTCCTGCAGTGGGCTGGAGCTGCTGTGAAAGCAGCTCTAGGCTTGGGTTATGCTCTGTGCTGCTGCCAGCTGCAATATGGGGGTGAAGTATAAACAGCTCTGCTCTGGGGAGACCCCCCTGCAGTGCTGGGGCAGCTCTGGAGTCCTCAGCACAGCAGAGCCAGGGAGCTGCTGGAGCGGGGCCAGAGG